GCTACTTTGAGTTATCTGTGGATCTCAGCAAACGAGTGTAACAAGCCATGCTAATGAAGCACAGGTCAAACTTTCCTCACTGAGACAGAAAATGCTCAGTGACTTCACTTACCTCATCACACATTAATGTTGCAAGATGGGTTGTTTTCCCCCCGGGAGCAGCACACATGTCCAAAATTCTCTGTCCTGGCTGAGGATTTAAAACATAACTCACAACTGAAGAGGGCAAATTCTAGTAATGGAAGAGAAAAAAACTAGGTTTGCTTCAAACTAGGTTTGACCAACACAGGAATATCTTACTTAAAACTAATTCTATTGTTTGTTTCTTCCACTAAAGGGCAAACTTGTGCATGTGTGTGTTCTAATTCTGTAAGCAGTGTTCAAAACATTCACAGAATGATTGATTGTAGCAACTGTAGACATGAGAAAGGAATACCTATTTTGACAGAAAATGGTATTTCTTAGAAGCCAATACATTATAATCAACCAAACTGATTGAGGCAGCAATCCTAAACACTTACTGGGGCGGGGGGTCATTCCACGCTAAATCACCTGATTTTAATACTCGACCGTGCTTTTACATCTCAGATTTTGTTCAAAAATTTTGTATGTGTACATACCTACAAGATAACCTCAAATTAATTTTTAAAGATTTTTTGGTCCAAAATTGGGTGCAGGAGAATTTTTCAAAAATTTCAATTTTCACATGATTTAGGCTAATGCAATTTCTGCGTCAGTTTAGAAAAAACCTCCTGTTCCGCTTATTTTTCAACCAATTGGGCTTATTTTGGTATCAAAATCAAGCTAATTTTGGTCTCTTTCAAAATAAGGTATAAAATGGGAAAAGGGACACCGACCAAAGTGAATGTTAGTCATTTTCTACCTTGGTGGGTTCAATAAGCCATAGTGCGCAAACCACAACTAAAACATGCATCATACTTTTTTTGTAGAATGGGCTAACCATGAACTGGCTATGTTTTAAAAATAAGAAGGGTGTATTTGTGGTTATAACATAGTTTTAAAATTAAGTTTTATTAATTATTTAATAAAAACAAAATATGCCTTGGAACCCTTGTTCATTTTATTGTGTAAAACACTTCTGCATAGCTATTTTGTTTCCCATACATGTTATATGGTCAATGGTGCTGTTTTGATTTAATTTAAATTAATTTGAGGTTATCTCATAGATAATCTATACATGAAAAATGTTTGAACAAAATCTGAGATGTGAAAGCACATGGCACCAGGTGATTTGGCGTGGAATGACCCAGGGAGGCTTGTGGAACGTACTTTAAAATCTTCAATTCCAGAACAAAGTGTTTTGATTCTTGTGTTTGGGGAAAACTCTAGCAAACTTGTAAACTTGCACCGTGTTAAGATTTATTTAAAAGTATGTATTATGTCTCACTACTTCATTGTATCTCCTACATTTCAAAAACAGAACTTAAAAGGTTTCTGCTTAATGGGATACACCTCTGCTCACCCTACTGAACATGTGCAAAGGGCAAGGTTTATTTACAGCCCTTGTACAGGAGAGAGACCCATGTATGCAGCTACCAACCAATGACAGTGCTCAGTGCCTATGAATGCCTGGATCTAAAGAGTCCATAGGAGCAGAACAGTGCACAGCTGAACTGCAGTGTAAGACTCTACACTTCCAGCAGCCCAGTCCCCCAAGTATGTGACAAGATGCTTGAAGGTTTCACTTCCCATGGCATAGAAGTGAGGACACACAAGACGGGGCTTCAACCCTAGTACAGCCTATAGCACAAAACTTACGCTACCTGCTTGGAACAGCATTTCCTCTGGGGCAAGGGCAAAATAAGTCACCAAATCACCAAATGTGTAAGACAACATAGCATGTCTAATTTTACATTAATTGTGCATTTACATTTGTATCCCAAATTGTCCTACAGATTCGGACCATGTACTTTTTAAATGCACTTCACTTTACTGCAAATTGCTTCTTTCCACACACAACCTACTTGTGTCATCCCTTCAAAAACATCAAGACAATACGCGTTTACCTGGGAGTAAGCCCAAGAAGTTATACTTCCAAGTAGAAATGCACAGGATTGCACAGCCAATAGATTATATATTACATACAGTGGTGCCTCGCAAGACGAAAAGAATCCGTTCTGTGAGTCTCTTCGTCTAGCGGTTTTTTCGTCTTGCAAAGCAAGCCCATTGACGGATTAGCGCTATTAGTGGCTTTTAGCGGCTTTGCGGATGAGCGGCTTAGTGGCTTAGAAAAAGGGGGGGGGGGAACCCGCAGGAACTCGCAAGACATTTTCGTCTTGCAAAGCAAGCCCATAGGAGATTCATTTTGCGAAGCACCTCCAAAACGGAAAACTCTTTCGTCTAGCAAGTTTTCCGTCTTGCGAGGCATTCGTCTTGCGGGGCACCACTGTATTTAAAGACTGACTGTTATATATACACAGCTAAGTCACATATAAACACAAATAATTGTATTAATTCTCCATTAAAACATATATGCAGAAGAAACTACTGGTGTCTACGGGCAAAAACACATATTACCTAATAACATACATGGTGAAAACATTAATCAATAATATTGGCTTAATGGTACACAACATTAACAACACAGTGTTCATCAATGTATTTTTTCCACACTCTCAGTAATCAGGCAGTATCTGTTTCTCAGCTACATGAGCTTACATGTATATGCTGAAGTGTTCTTGCATTATAAATCAATTTGTGAAGCATGGAAAACAGGATACACAGGGGGCCGATACGACATGATTTGATGACACTTTCAGCCAAATTATGTGTATTGTGTATGATTTGACCAGGAGGTATAAAACTCTGTCTGAGATGGTCATCTGTGATCACTTATTCATATACATTCAACCTCTCACCCAATGCTACAAGTGATGAGCATACATGTGTCCCTTAAATCTTCTAGTTAAGAACTAGTGCAAAGCTGCAGCAGAGCAAGCTAACACGCTTTTGCTTCCAATGTGGGAGAAATGTCAACTAATGTTTTGGAGGAGGAGTGAAACACTGGTTTATGTTCTATAGTTGAAATAATACTCAAAATGTGGGTGGTGGAAATCCGGAGCCACAAAATGCAATGATAGATAAAACAGAAGGTAACTTCTTATTTCATGACAGGTTAAATTTGTCTTCAAACAAAGCAAAATGCAAATTCAACCTGGCGGCACCTACCTACACACACACACACACACACACACACACACACAGGCCTTTCTTGGGAAATGTAACAAAATCAAACCAAGGTTTCTTATTGCAGAGCTTTCCTTATTGGAAACAATATATAAATAAAGACTTCTGCTTTGGATGCACTGACCACTTTAGATCAACAAGATGAAACAACATAGATCTGCAGAGTTGCATGTCAGCTCAGGGACTAGATTCAAGGCTTATGTTGAAATGAAATGCCTCCAAACTTTGTCACTCTGTTCACAACCTGTGAAATGGGAGGTGGGGGACGACTTACCAGAGGCATCAATCATGCTCCACATTGCGGACAGGCACCATTTTTCTTCAATGCAAATTCAAATTCTTCCCTAGCAGATGCTAAAACAGAAAGGGAGGGAGCAGGAACCCATGCTTCCTGACCCCCCCCCCCCCGCTTTGGTATTTGCTGAGTGGAAGCATGGAAGAAAACTGCACCTAGCAGGAGCTGGGACTGTCAACACAAAGCTATTAGGACCCATTGGCCGACAGCACCACCACCACCACCTGGATCATATGAGCATGTGCTAGTGGCATAAAATGTGAGGGATGTACAATTTTTGTAAAACTTTTGTTCTCTCTAAGCCATTTCAAAGCCAAAGCACTTCTCAAAAGAAGTTTTGGATTACCTCTTGTTCAGACCCACTGAAGTCCACCCTATTACATCTAAATTGAACTATAGATGAAGCTGTCCATATCATTTATTGATATCTTGCCAAAGGCAATCAAAAAACAGAATTAGGTAACATTTCATTTCACAGAAGCACAGTGAAAACAGTCCACGCCTAGCATGTCAGATATAAAATACTTACAGAGCATAAAAACATAGGGAAAATCACTATTTTAATTGAATTTCCCCCAAAATAACTTATTTGCTTAGATGTGAAGTCCAGCTGTGTTCAATGGGGCTTAGAATACAATAGAAAGGGTTGTGACCTCAGAATTCAGAAAGCGATAGTTATTTTTAATATGACTTACCTGCAAAAACAGATAACTCGATAACATTTTGTCAAATGAAGGACTAAGGTAAATTGGTTCTGTCATTTTTATTCCCATCCCTCTGAAAGGCACAATGGACACCGGTAAGAAAAAAAAAATCCCGATCTGAATTTCTAATACTAATAATCTTTTAATACAAGATCCGACACTTCAATATAATATTGGCCAGTAATTAAACAGATTCTGACCTGACTTTCATAAACACAACTAAGAAGGGAAAATTGAACATTTGCAAGATATACAGTGGAACCTTGGGTTGCGAAGGTGATCCGTTCAAGAGGCACATTTGCAACCCCCAGCGCCACGTCTGCATACGTGCAGGTCACAATTCAATGCTTCTGTGCATGCGCAAAGCACGATTTAGCGCTTCTGCGTGAGCGCCAAAACCCAGAAGTAACCCATTCTGGTACTTCCGGGTTCGGCGCAGTGCGCAACCCGAAAACATGTAACCTGAAGCGTCTGTAACCCAAGGTACCACTGTACTATAAACTCAGCATAACTTCTAACTTTCTCTCTCTGTAATCTTGGTTTAATGTTTAGTTGCCTCTCTTGTATGAGGACTAGTTGTCATCTGATTTCAAAGCTAATGTGGTGGTTCAGTTCTTAGGATAAAAATGGAAAGGTGGTCTCAAATTATTGCAGTTATACACCCTGACTTACAAAGACACAAATTTGGAAGATGACACCACTCGGCGGCTTCATGTGGATGTTAAAGAGAATTGTAGAGTTGGAAGGGACCACAAAGGTCAGTAGTCCAACCCCCTGCAATGCAGGACACTTTCTGCCCAAGCTGGGGCTCGAATCCATGACTCTGAGATTAAGTGTCTCATGCTCTACCAACTGAGCAGTAGCTGTGTTCTATGTTAGAAACTGACCACTACTAGGACTTGTTTCTTCTTGATTCCCAATGTATTTCTTATCAGTAAAAAATTCAGTGGCATGAGCAAATTTTTATTCTGAAAGTGTGGCCCAGAGAAAAAAACTATGAGAACCACTGCCCTAGAAGGTGGTGGCTGGGAGATGATACTCAACCTCATGCAGTTTCCAGGCACAGGCCTCAATCTTTTTACCCATTCTATGGTACTTTATAATATGATCATGGGACATCCAGAAAGTATAACACATACATATTATTTAGAAGCAGATTCTCAAACTTTATTACAATTTCTGACTTACTTCAGTGGTCCAGTAGAATTAAATATTTCATTTCGGCTCAGTTCAGAAATCCCATTTCCGATGAAAACTTTGCTTCCGAGAAATTCTTTGGCCCCTCTTTTACACTTCCCTTCAATATCAGAGTATACTGAAACACTATCTCCAGCTTTCATGACTAAGGAAAGAAAGGGAGAACATTTCAGATAATATTTTATTTGGCACAAGAACTCACTAGGGACTTCAAGTAGGCCACATACTTGAGCCCCGACTATTTACAAGGATCTGTTCAGGTCAGGAGTAGCTCTGGAACAACTTCAGTAATGGCTATTCCGCATGCATACTTGGCAACTTCTTCTGTAACTTTTTTAAGCATCTAATCTACAAGAAGAATAGTTAATACTCAAGTTACTAAAGCTTAGGGACCACAGAGTCTGAGGCAGGGAATGAAATAGATGCAGTGGTAAATGTCTGGTTTCCTGGTTGGGAGATGGCTTGATTTTGTCCTTTCTTACCAAAACCATAGGACAGGATAATCTAGTTTGTTAGGAAATGCATTTCTTAACAACTTCTTTAAATACCGATTACATATCTTATAAACTTCCTCAACTGGAACATTATAGTGCAAATCTGCCAATTTAGTAGTAGCATCTACTCTTTTACAGAATCTTTTTAACAGAATTTCAGAACAAAGGATGGTAGGGAAATAAGGCAATGGCTGCAACTTACATTCACAAACTACAGTTCTAAACAATCTAGTATTGGATATTTGAAGAGATATTAACACTTAAAAAGGGTAGCTGCTATCAACTACAAAGTATTATTTTCCATCAGTCTTACAAGCTAAGGAAGCGTGGAGGGGGGTGTTACATACATTTTGAAGCAGATATGATTCCTGGAGCATAGACGTGTGCTCCTCGAAGCACCGCATTCCCACACTGTGCACCAACAATAACTTCATTTGTCAATTTTTGTACATCCTTTCTGCTGGGAGCAGGGGAAGGAGAGAGTTAAGAAAAACCAATCAGCACAATTCACATCTGCTGTTCTCAGCTGCCTTTCTAATACTAGCTGCAGTATCTGCTGCAGGGACGCAGGTGGCGCTGTGGGTTAAACCACAGAGCCTAGGACTCGCCGATCAGAAGGTCGGTGGCCACATGACCCGGAAGCTGTACGCCGGCTCCCTCGGCCAATAAAGCGAGATGAGCGCCGCAACCCCAGAGTCGGCCACAACTGGACCTAATGGTCAGGGGTCCCTTTACCTTTACCTTAGTACCTGCTGCAGCCGTAGAGTTAGTTGGCCAAGCTGGATCGCATTGCAAGGAAGGCTGAAATCCTAGCTCCACTTTTCAGGAAGACACACTAATGAATTTGATGTGATTTACCTCCGAGCAGACATGGGGCTCATCGAGACTTCCTTTTGCAGCACAGGTCCATGCTTCAAAGCTCTGTGTCCAAGCACTATAACAAAAAATAACAAACCCAAAAACCAACCCCCTGAATTAGAGCAAACAGAAATACATGGAGAACCCAAATCACTGCTTGTTCTGATTCAGTTTTATGCAGTGGGTTTTCCTGGAGAAAGTGGCAGTGCTTGGATGTAGGAGTTTTAAAGCACGGACTTGTTCCTAGAGAAGGAGGGGGAAAAGGTAAATGTGGATGAGCCCATGGTCAGGCTTCTGCTGCAAAACATTGATCTATTTTACAATGACCAATATGCCAGTTCTAAATATTTGCTCTTGCACATATGTTTTCATGTTCCAAATCAGTCTATGAGCCATCAGAAGATGAAATACAGATAAACTCCATTAACATTAAAATTCTAAAATGCACAGACCTGGGCCCAATAACAGGAATAAGTAAGATGTCAGGAAGTTTTGGATGCCGAAGAACCGGAACAGTAAGACTTGTGTACTGCTACATATGGAAAAAGAAAAAAGTATACTTCTTAGTTCTGGTTAATGAAAAGGACCTGAGTGTTTTATAGCCATTTTATTCATTGACATTATTTATTTGTCATTATTTACTTACTAGGTTTCTTACCATCCTTCATCATGTTGTTTCAGGGCAAGTTAAACAATTTAAAACAGTTTAAAAAAAAAAAAATTACACTAATATTTCTATTAGACAGAAATGTTTAAGGTCACAATACATTATGGACTCTCTAATATAGGCATAGTGCTGATGAATCAAGATAGTTACAGCAGTGACGGAGTTTACTTCAGAATTCAAAAATGAGGGCCAAATACAGAGTTGTCGTTTTTAGTTACCGTATTTTTCGCCCTATAGGACGCACTTTTCCCCCTCCAAAAATGAAGGGGAAATGTGTGTGCGTCCTATGGGGCGAATGCAGGCTTTCGCTGAAGCCTGGAGAGCGAGAGGGGTCGGTGCGCACCGTCCCCTCTCGCTCTCCAGGCTTTGCGCAGCTCTCAGCAAGCCGTGGGAGCCCGCGCTGGGCTCCCGCAGCTTGCGGAGAGTTGCCTGCCTGCTGAAGCCTGGGTGCACTGAGCTCAGCGCGCCCAGGCTTAGCTTCGCGCAGCTCTCTGCAAGCCGTGGGAGCCCAGGCTTCAGCATGCAGGCAACTCTCCACAAGCCGTGGGAGCCCAGTGCCGGGCTGCCACGGCTTGCAGAGAGCTGCCTGTTCTGGGGGCTGGGGTCGGGGGAAGCTCAGGCTTCCCCCGCCCCAGCCCCGTGCCTGGGGGGGGAAAATAATTTCCCCCCCTTTATTTCCCCCCCAAAAAACTAGGTGCGCCTTATGGGACGGTGCGTCCTATAGGGGGGAAAATACGGTACTCTTCCTTATACAGGTATAACCAACCCATCCATTTCTATTATTATTAGTGACTACAGAAAAAGTGTGCTGCCTTGCATCTTCGTTCATGGGTGCACTTAGAAACTGGCACAGATCCAAATCAAACACAGAGAACAAGAAAAACCTGCAGACTGAACGTGAAGAAAATCATGTTTGCATTTCTTCCCTTAATTTGCTGCTTCCCTGCATGAAAAGCTCCCTGCTCATTAAAAGCTGAAATGGCAAGAAAAGCTTTAGCATGGGCTCCATACTAATGTAACCCTGCTTTTGCCATGCATAAGCTGCCTCTAAATTCCAAACAATCAAGCTACTTATTTGCAGGAGGACAGGGGGCACTTGGATCTTCTTAGGCAGGAAAAAATATTACAGCATTTCATAATGTCCTGCTACACAGATCTACTAATGTGAATCTAAGTTGCACCACTTTTAGTGAATTAACTGATGGCAAGACAAGTAGCAAGGAGACACTACACAGACCTTGTGGATCTCTTCAGAAAGCAGACCTCTTACATCTTCCACAGATGCCAGGTGGGTGTTCACTCGAACAGTTGTGAAAGCTGGTGGATGGGATAAATTATTTAACAGAGATTCATATTTCCGTTCGGCTTCCACTGCACCCAAAGCAGTTAGGAGCTTAAAAAAAGAGAAGAAAATACATTAGATCAGCAAAAATAGTGGCTTATACTATAATCCCAGGAGTACAGAATTGTTGATTCAAACTCAAGGCACAAGCCAGTTAAGCCACAGTATATCAGGAATGGATAGAATCACACTAAACTATGGTTTAGATAGGTGTGAGTAAGTCTAGCCTCTTCCCAGGTGTATACACTCTGTCCCCCTTACCCTCTCAAAGTGGTAGAAGTTCAGAAATTTCCACTTTTAACTATGGTTACTGTGGTTAACATTAAATACAGTTGGTTTAACTAAGCAAGCTTCAGAAACCATGGTTTGAAGTTTGCTTGTTTAGAACCAACCAGAATTAGGGTTAATCACAATTTGTTGGTATGTATGGATGACATGACTATCCGTGGTTAACCAAAAGCAGAAGCCTCCAAACTCCTCCCCTCCGTCATGTTGGAAGAGGAAAGGGTATGCAAGCCTAGGAGGACACTTGACTTGTTCACGTACTGCGTAACAAAAATTAAGCATGATACCTCTTACAGGCTGCATTAGGGTAAAATGGCAATCCTAAACATGTGTACTAAGATAAAAGTAAATCCATGTAGGATTTGCTATAAATTAAAGTACACATTCTTAACCAACTGATGAGCAACAGCCTAAATGGGGAAGAATTTAATGGGAATAAGCAAGCATGATTATCTTCTGTTTCGTTCA